TAAAATTGTGTATTTTACTAAAGATATGCAAAGTACTGTGCAAGCATTACGTATTAGTATAACTCTGAAGAAAACAGTTTCCCAAGTAGACTTAGAAAGCTTAGCTTTTTCACATTATGACAAAGTAAACAATATTTTTATTCTAGATGCTAACTCAAGTAGATACAAACAAGCTGATCCAATTTTTCAAAAATAACACCTAGCATCTTAAATTTCCTGTGCTGGCTGAAGAAAAAAACAGAGTGAACTTGCCTGTGTGTTTAGCCAACCTGTACATACAGCTGCAACGCCGATCCTGACAAATTCCCTAGCATCTGATGAAGGGGACGCACGATGCAGCTGGAAGCAAGGTTCTCCGGGAGAGAGAGGCACAGTTATCTCCTGTTAGCAGCACTGCATGACACTTTCTCTCTGCAGGGAAATGAAACAATAGCTTCTCTTGAAGAGAGAGCAGGAGGCACATTCTGCCTCCCAAAGCTGCAGCATGCTGAGAATATAATTGTTAAAACCTCCTCTTGGAGAAAATAGTACTTCAGAATGGACAGTAATTTGGTACAAGTATCTCCTTGGCTTCCAGCTTCCCAAACCAAATTAAGATAAGCACAAGAGTGGAAATTAACTTAATACAGAATAAGCCTAAGGTTTCTAAAAACAATCAATGAAACACTGGAATGACTGCATTCAAATTCGGCGATGCACCCGTAGGAAAAAGCACTGCCTGATGTTTGCCCTCTTAATCCAAGGCTCAGTCAGCTGATGTCAGGAATGCATCCAAAATATTACATGGGATTGAGTCAATCGCCTGCCCCTGGGGTAGGGAACTCCAAGTCATGCTCCAGATCCTTCTCGTGACCTTAATTTCACCTGTATTGATCATGGTGGATTAAAGATATTTCATTTGAAAAATCTAGGGAGATCAGTGAATTCTGTAGCTCCAAAGAGTTTTCTGCAGTATTTGACTCGATCCTGTAACACCAGCTATCATTTCTGTAACAAGAAATACCTGTTTTAAAGAAGTATTACTATGAAACTCCAAACACTCAGCTTTGTACAGCACCAGCGCAGCTCTTTCTGTCTGGATGTCAAGTGGATCAAAACCAGCAGTCAGTCCCCAGTACCTAAATGTATTTAAACACATATAACAAGGCACAAAGCCGCACACCCGCACACAGACCTGCAAGCTGGTACCCAAGGGACACTTGGGACACTGCTGCCTCCCACCTGGCTCCCACAGGATTCCTCAGATGAGGTGGGAACTTCACTCTGGCCACGCAGAGAAGGGTTATCAAGATACTTGGCTACCGAGCACTAGGGCTGAACACCCTGAACGCCTCCGCCGGGTCCCAGGGAGGGCTCTGGAAATGCAGCTCTCATTCCTGCTCCGATGCGGTACTAAGCGTCCCCGTGAAGCGTCACAAGCCACCCCGGCGCCACGGGAGGAGAGATTTTATCCCCCGCCGTGCTGCGGCGTGGACGGGGCGCCGTGCTCCTCACCGGGCCACGTAGCGTCGTTAAAACCCGGCGGTTACGGGGCACGCAGAGGCGGGGCGGCCGGTACCGGTGCCACGGGAGCCCGTGGGGACACCGCGGCGCATTTACACACCAGCCTGAGTGCAACACGGCTCGAGCACCACCGCAACCACAGCAAACTGCGCTGGAAAGCGCGCACAAGTGCTTACACACACACGGTTATATATGTAAGGATAGCGACGGTTCCAACGCTCTCCTCCCCCCACACACCCCAGTGTCCCGCCGGTGCCGTGTCGGGCGCGGTGCCCCCGCGGTTCCCGGCGCTGGCAGCGGCCCCGGGCCCGCGGCCGCGCTGCTCACCATGGTACAGATGGAGGCGAGCCTGCGCACCGTCATGAGCACGTCCATGGCGCCGCCGCGCCGCCCGCCGCCGCCGCCGCCGCCATGTTGCGAGCAACTGACAGCGCCAGCCGCGCAGCCGCCTCACGGCGCCGCGCCGCGCCGGTGCGGCGCCCAAACGGCGCCGGCTGCGCCCCGCGCCGCGCCGCACCGGGCCGCCCCGCCGCCCGGCCCCCCCCGCCCCCCCGGGCTCCGGGGGCCCCCCCCCCGGCCCCCGGCGCCGCCCGGCCCCCCCGCCGCCAGCCCGCCCCGGTTTGGGGCAGAAACGCGGGGTTTGGGGTGGCGTGAGGGGCAGGGAGCGAGGCAGCGCCGGCCCCGCGCCCGGGGGTGTCTTGGGGGGACCCTGCCAGCTCCCTGCGAAGTGCACGAGTTGCAACTCCCTCAAACGCCGCTTGACATTCTCATAGGAAAACCTCTAGTGCCTGCAAAAATTTGTTATTTTCAGAGCACTTCAACCTCCAAGAGCAATAAAAATAGAAAATCTAAAAGCCATTTAGCTTTTTTCTTTTTTAAGCAAAAAAATAACTCAGACTCATAAATAAATGTGTAAGAAATTTGGTGTGGACGTAGCATCATTCCCCTGGCACGCGCACAGGGATATATCTTAGCATAGGGCAACCCAACGAAGCCACCAGCATTATCCAAATGTTTTCCAACTTGCTCTCGAGTTCTACAAACATTCATCCTTTTAATTTAAGCTATTGTTTTTCCAAGAGCATTTGAATTAAAAACATGCTCTCTTTTTACATCTAAATATAAGTCCATTGTACACAAACAATAAAAATCTCTTTTAAAAACAATTCTTATTCTTCACGCCAAGGATTATACAGCCCCAAATAGTGTGAATCCTTCTGCACGGTTTTACTCAGTGGAAAGATAATTAGATGATTTAGAAAATCAGATAAAGATCAGATTAGAGAGCCGCTGGCTTTTATTGTGCATCTGAAAAGAATTCCTTCAGAGTCATGACTCTTGAGAAGGAAAAATAAAAAGACAAGACCCTGGAGAACTTATTTAAAACTTCTGCAGAATATACTGGGGTGGAAGGTGTTTTCTAGTATTAAAAAACATTCTCTCTGGGAAGAGATTTCTGTAGCTAGTGGAAAAACTCTGGTTAGGTTACACAAGAAGACTGGGCCTGTGTGAGAGAAATTTAGATTGAAGAAATTCAGATGGAAGAGGAATGAGCACTGAGTGCTCAGCTTCCAGGATTCAGTCCAAGCCGGAGCCCTCACAGTTGCCTTAAGCAACCAGCAGCCCTCCCAGCTGCCAAAAGCAGCAGTTGGAGGTTTCCTCCACGGCGAGTCCTTCATTCCTGCCCCCACACTTCTCCTCTCCTGCATCGGCACCAGCATCCGTGCAGGCACACGGCGAAGAGCTCATGGAGCCTCCCCTTGCGGAGCGAATCCTCAATCCGCTCGATGAATTTAGTTGCCCCGCTCCGTACCTTCTCACAGTGCATCATGTCCAAGCAGAAGGACACCCTCTGTCCTGCTCTCCACACGATGGAGACGATACCCAACATTTAGTTGGCTCTTCTGGTGCTGCTGCGTGTTGAGCTGATAATTTTTACTAATGATGACCTCAAGATCTCTTTGGCAAACTACAGCACCACTGCCAAATTGAGCATCACTGTAAATTATTTCTCTCTAGCAGCTTTACCTTCCATTTCTCTATATCCAAGCTCATCTGCAAGCTTCCTTGACATCCTTCTGGTGTTCCTCAGCAAGGGTAAAACATGGTAAAACATATGGCTGCCAAAAGGACTTTTACTCCTGCTTCTGTCAAGCGCATTGGCTCTCATTGGAACAAGTCAGGAAATCAGCATCCTTTCGGGAATATCTTTGCTTGTATAGAATATTTTTATTTTCGAGCCTCTGGGCTCGAAAACCTCCACGGGAGAACTCATGGACCATGCAATGAGTAAAAGCAGCTGCATGGAAGCAGCTGAGCAGAAAAAGCCTTTTTGGAGCAGCCGGGCACCTGGTGGGAGCGTGCGGAAGACAGGAAGAGGCTGCCCAGCCAGGTCTCCATCGTCCACGGGCAGATTAGCTGTGGTGGCACTTGCCCTTGGTGTCCCCGCTCTGTGTTTTCCTGGCACAGTCGCTCATTCTGCAGCCCGTGTCTCACTTGCACCACGGGAGGGATAGTGAGTCCTTCCTGAGTCTGTCACCAGCACTAAATTTACTTTTCCATGTTAAGAGGACCAAGAGCGCCCCAACCTGCTGCTGTCTCTTGCTCCGGTGGCCTGTTAAGATGACGAACACATCTAAAAGAAGGCACAAAATGTATCTCAGAGGGCATAAAGTGCTCAGTTTGGGATCATTCACAGCTGTGTGAGAATTGGGGGGAAACTATGTGTGTGTTTTCATGCAGGGTCCCATGGGCTGCAGGAGCTACAGGTCAGCATTATCCAAGCAGTGCCAGAGCAGGGCCCTGGACGAGTGCAAAGCCTCCTGTGACAAGGGTCGAGCAAAGAGCCTGTGAATGAGGCGGCGGGGCGGGTAAAGCGGGGAGCGCTGCAGGGAAAGCGGGGAGCGCTGTGGATGAAGCAGGGAGCGCTGCGGATGAAGCGGGGAGCGCTGTGGGGAAAGCGGGGAGCGCTGCGGATGAAGCAGGGAGCACTGCGGGGAAAGCGGGGAGCGCTGCGGATGAAGCGGGGAGCACTGCGGGGAAAGCGGGGAGCGCTGCGGATGAAGCGGGGAGCACTGCGGGGAAAGCGGGGAGCACTGCGGATGAAGCGGGGAGCACTGCGGGGAAAGCGGGGAGCGCTGCGGGTAAAGCGGGGAGCGTTGCGGGTAAAGCGGGGAGCACTGTGGATGAAGCGGGGAGCACTGTGGATGAAGCAGGGAGCGCTGCGGGGAAAGCGGGGAGCGCTGCGGATGAAGCGGGGAGCGTTGCGGGGGAAGCGGGGAGCGTTGCGGGTAAAGCGGGGAGCACTGTGGATGAAGCGGGGAGCGTTGCGGGGAAAGCGGGGAGCACTGTGGATGAAGCGGGGAGCGCGGCGCAGGAGGCACCCGCGCCGTGCCCAGCCGGAGGAATGTCCTGGCTTCCCTCGTGATTGGCTGCCGAACCGAGGAGTCAGTTTTCACGGGGGTTGATCAAAAAGTCTCCCTGCGCTTTGCAAAGCTGCTCTCCGACCAGAGGCTTCGGGAAGGGGAGGCCCGTCGCTCCGGCATTCCCCAGAAATGCTACACGCATGAAATGAGAAGGCTCCTCTATCCCAGGATTCGCAGCCAAGAGAAGGCGCGGAGAGGCCGTTCTCCTGCTTTTCTCCCGCAGCCCGCGCGGCGGTCGCTCGGCTCTCGCTTCTGGCATGCGTCTCATCCCTCAGGATACTATGTCACAGTACTCCACTAACTTCCTCCTGCTTCCCATACCCGAGTACCCCGTGCTGGACTGTGCGCCCAACAAGATCATCAAGCTCGTGGTGCTGGGCGGCAGCAGCGTTGGCAAGACCGGTAAGTGCCCAGGTGAACTCCCATGCCCTTGGCTGCTAGCTCCCAGCTCCGACTCTGCACACTCCTCACGGCAGCAGCTGAAATGTTTGGAGTTGCCCTGGATAACGTGGGAATCCAGTCGGCTGCTCCTACAGCCTCAGCTCTAATGCGAGGTCGCGGTTACGCCGGCACCGCGCTGGGGGCTTGGGAGTTACAAGTGATTCTCTGCACTTTGGGCAAATCATTTAACATCCCCAAATGGGAGGGGTGGTTTGTATTCTCTGTAGTAAATGCTTTGTGCTCTGTGGACAAATAAGAGTGTGCAAAATGTGTTTTTCTTTATTATTCCCTAAAGCAGAGGCGAAGAAAGGAGGCTAAAGGATAAAGTGAGCGCTTCCTCTTTTGGTTTGTATTTCAGAAATGATTAAGGCCAGATTTTATTTTACTTCATCTCAGGTTCCACTCAGGAAAACGCTTTGTTGTCTGCGGCTGCATTTTCACATCAGTTTTAAGCAACTTGTTGAAGATACCTACACTGCCTACTTCCTCTAAGGATACCAAAGGGAGGCTGTGAACCTATCAGGAGAAAAAATATTTTTACAAAAGCAGCCTATGCTAGAGCTGTTCGCAGAAGAAAGCTCTTTTATTCAGATATTAACTGCGTTGCTTTGCAGGACATTACAGGATCTGCTGAGATGAGAACACTGTAGAAAATATAAGTTCCTATTGCCAGGAAGGGATTTCAAGTCTTATAAGAAATCAAGAATAAGGACAATATTCTAATCCCATAGTGTCTGAAAGCACCACTGGTTTAGATGAAAAAAGAAGGCACGGAGCACTGCAGCGTGACCCCTGTGCGTGCAGCACGCAGCTTGTTTGGGGCTGTGATTAGATATCCCTTACATGCTTCACGAGGACGACTGGGGATTTTTAAGCCTGGGAAGAGCCATTAGATCCATCAATCTTATTTCTTATGTGACACAGACATCTAAAATTTGGTGTTGGGATTAGTGTCAGGATTTTAAGAGTTTGCTTTGTTATTTTTTCCTGAATGATCTCATACCAAAGGTCAGGCTGTTGTATCTGCAACCACAACAAACAGTTCTCCATGACCCACACTGAGTAGCCTAACTGAATCTAAGAGACCTTTTATAACACAACTTGCCAAAAACTCTGCATTAGGAGGTTGCAGCCTGGCCCCAAATCTGTTTTCTTTGAGTGCAGAGAGAGGCGTTTGCAGAATAACATGTGAGCAACAGCAAGATTAACTTGATTTCCGAATATCCTAAGTCTTCCAGTAAGGTATTACATGCGTTCTTCAAAGATTGATTCTGGTTCACATTACAGACCCATATTTTTTTCATTGTTTTACAGCCCTGGTTGTACGCTTTCTCACAAAAAGATTTATTGGGGACTACGAAGCCAACACTGGTGAGTCTGCTTTGTACCGCGCTGCTGCAGAGCTTGAAAGGCTCCAATCTGCTCTGCTTTGTGATTGCTGCATATTACAGGGAAGCCAAGCAGTGCAAGATGTCCATAAGGTGCATATTTTCAGTTAATAGCCTCGAGCTGCAAAAGCAATAAATCAAGGGCTCATTATTTATGATCCTTTCGACCATTTTTTTTTTCCTCCAACGTGATGGAAAAGGATCTGAGAAAAAGGGCTGCTTGGAGACATACCTATCCTAAAAGGCAGGCTCAGGGAACTTCATATGGATACCCTTTGTGTATGGGACGTACAAGGCAGCTCGGGACCTTTTCTGTGTACTTCCTTTTTTTCAGTGGCTTTTTGGCCAAGGGAGATTGCCAAACTTGAGGCTTTTTTTCCATGACATCAGCAAAGCGGCCATACAAACTCCTTCTACTTCTGTTTCTTGTTTAATCCTGACCTGTAGGGACACCTCAAAGTCTATGTTCATGTCAAGTGTGTAATTCATAGCCTTTGTTCCATGCAAAGTGCCAGCTGTGCGGGCCAGTGTTATAAAAAGGACCTTCATATGCAGAACTCATGCCCACTAGCACCTCCCACACGTAGGTCGTCTTGCCGTTTTGGGGCCAGGAAGGACTAGATTCAAGGCAGTGATTGCTTTGGATATTACTTTGGAGATATTGCTGCATTTAGAATGACGACTTAGGGACGGAGACGGTAGTACAGGACGCCTTTGATCTCAGTCTGATGAAATACGGCCTGGAAGCTTCTCCTTACAGCTCCCTCTTGCCGACCCGATGCAAGCTGGAAGTTTGCCTGCACTATTTCTTTCTTCTTGCCTCACCTTTTCTATGGGAGACAGTACATCAAGTGAGGCTTCAGAGCTCTGCAGTGGGTTGTTGCCAGAGACACCACGGAAAACCAGAGTTTTCCCTTGAGCTACAAGCCCAAGCTACAAAGAAAGAAAAAAAAAATACAGGAATATGAAGCAGCTGGTGGTATTTATGATCATTCAACCCTGCTCTGCCTTAAGTTTGGTGTAAGGCAGAGCTAAGGCAGTGAGTGGAGGCACCTGTTCTTTTTTTCTATGATGCATTACAGAGGAGGAATACTATGTTGCCTGGGCTTGGTTCAGGGGTACAGTATCTTCCCAATAAAACAGTACTGTCCTTCCAGCTTAAGCGCTGGTGTGTTTTAAAAAAGAAAAAAAAATGCCAGAAGGGCTAGATCACCCCACAGAGTCACTACCAAATAACATTTGGTACTGGATTCAGATGCAGCAAACTTTGCCATAATAAATTTCCTTATATTGTGAAAGTTTCTAGGAGCTCAGCTTCTTTTCCATTGAAATACAAACACCTGCTTCCTTCAACCAAATTTTATGGGGTTAATTTTTCAAAGGGATGGCCTTGTTGTCACTAGCGATGTGAATTCCTCGCTCTCCAGCAGACATTTTTACTGCAGGCCTGAGTCAAAGCGCTTTGTTTTAGTAGTAGCAGGGACAATTGTATTTGGACAACATTAAAAGGTCACATGCAACAGCTGTGGATTGAGCGTTTCTTTGTAGATCCATGTGACTTGTACTAAGCTCTGAAGAAAAATGGTTAGGACACGAAGCTCTGCATTTATCCTTACTACAATACCCATTTCCTAAGATTAAAACTTCAGTTTTCTTTGACACTTGGCCTGCACTCCAGTAACAAAATAATACTCCAACTCAGAACAGTGAGGAGTTTGCAAAAACTGGGGCGATCCTAGACATTTTGAAGCAGCACTTGGACCCTGAATATCCTTCGGATCATCAAGAACTCAGATTCAATCTAGCCAACCTTTGGGGGTTTCAACACCCAAATGTGTAGACTGCAGCACTTCCACCTTGACTTTTTTCACTCTTTCTTCTCTGTTACAGCCTCTGACTCTAATAATCTTACTCTCCCATCAGGTGCTTTGTATTCAAGGAAGTTCACCATAGATGGGGAACAGATCTCCCTACAGGTGCAGGATACACCTTTTGTTTCACTGGAGGTAAAATATCTGATTAATGCATCAGTACTTTAAAACACAATTTGTTTTTTTGCCAACGCTTTCATCTGTAAGCAACTCCTTATCAGCAGAAATAAGTGTGAGCTTAAGCCCAAATGAAGCCAAAGGCGGGTATTTAAGGCTCTGCCAAACTGAGTATTTGAAGGGGTTAAATCAGGCTTCTTTAAGAGCAGCACAGAATTAAAAGGAATATATTTCAAATACATGACTGTACCCCAAGCCTAAACAGCAGTAAAACCATAGGCTGGCTTGCTCCTGCCAACTCCTTGCTTGTTTTATTTCCTGTCAAATGGTTTCTGGCTCCACGTGGCAGAAAACTCGCACCTGCCCAGAGTCCCAGCTGGCTCCTTTGAGACCATCCTATGCACCCGGATGGCTGCTCTAGAAAGATGTTCTTTTCAGGAGGGCGTTTATGGGGTGCTTTTTGGCACTTCATTATTATTATTATTATTATTATTATTATTATTATTATTATTATTATTATTATTTTACTCGTTCCTTATTTCTCAGGTACCAGCACTTAACCATATGCCTCTTTCAATTGTTGCTAAGGTATTCTAAATTTTACAGCTGGCTAGAAACCTCTCTGCAAGTATTATTTGAAGCAAGATCCAAAGTTAAGAGATCTCTTTTAAAGACCTAATTTACATGCCGAACCACTTCCATTGTTTTTGATGACCAGAAGTGGGTTTAAGTGGAAGGCAGGAAGCTCTGACCCTGCTGCCGAGGGTGCGCAGGGCAGAACGAGGACCCCTCATTCATTCAGGACACTGAAAAGCAAACAAAGGCAGCCATGGAAGCCCTCCAAATATTCCAGAGGGATTTACTAGCACAAAGGCTTTATGCCAGCCTGCTTAGAGAGGACAGGGCAAGAGAAGCTGTTGACGGTGATTAGGCACAATTGGGAATGGCAGATACACACAGAGCAAAGGGAATCCCCTTTCTGTTCCAGCCCACGGAGGAAGGAGGGAGGGGACGAATTCAATGCCCTCTTTCACTCCAAATATAATTCTATTTTCCTGTTTCCTTGTTTTGATTAGACTGTGCCCTGAAGTGCCATGGCTGTTGCTGGAGCTCTGCAAAATTCAATAATGCCATCAGCTGAGGTTTTTCATAGTCAGAAACTATTTTTAATTTAGCTAGGAGGAGCTTCAGTCTCTCTGTCCCAGTCAAAGGTCTGCACTGTATCAGCACATCCCACAGCTGTGCTTATCTTATCTCACATCTCTGTTCGCAACAACTGCTGGGTCTTCCACCACTGGAAGGGATTGTTGCTGCACAGAGCTCAGAGAAGACTGAGAATGGGTTGGATTTTGTGCTAGGATCCTTATGGGGGAGAGAGCTGTTTGCCATCCGCAGGCCGAGGACAGTGGTTTCTGGAGGAAGTCATGTGGAAGCACTCGGGAGCCTCGCCACACCAGAAATGTACATGTTTAAGAGAGAAACAGAAGCCAAGAGAGAACTGGTTTCGTCAGGCGATTCACTGCCGCTTGAGCTCTACATGGCAAGCGACTGTGTGCTCCCAGATTCGCTCTCCAGTGGAGATTTCCATTTAAAATGTAGCCCATTATCCTTTGATTGTCCCGAATAAAGCATTCCGATGGGGATTATCCATCCATGGCTCTGCTGGGTGGGCCTAGCAGAGTAAGGGAGAATTCCTGCTCATTAGGCCTCTCTAAATGGACATCTTCTCTAAAAATATTTTTAAATGCTTGCCAGAGCAATTAGCTCCTTTTACCCATAAAAGAAGTTTGTGGGTGAAAAGAGGCTAGCGGGACACCAAGGGTGGCTAATTAGCTACAGATTGGATACAGCCTAGTCAGCAGCAGTGCAGAGGGCCCTTCCTCTCTCTCTGTTCCCCGGCTCCAGCTCACGCTCATCACCCTTGTAAGCAGGGCTGCAGGGGGGCTCCCTCCTTGCTCCATGCGTGATTTGGATCATTTTTTTGGAAGGCAGGAGGAGGAATGAACTGTTAAGGAACTTCACTAATATATTTTACACATTTTAAATGTACATAAATATGCATATATATGTTTATCATACATACCTAGATACTGGAATATATGTTTTACTATTTTAACTTTCCCTAGCTAACACTGAACAATGGTTAGCTTTTTACCAAACCTTATTTTTCTGCTCTTGCCTATGATAAACTATGATAAAATAAACATTATAAAATCTCTTAATGCTTTCCCAGGTGTTCTCTTCCTTAGGAATAAGTGGTTACCTGGCATCAGGCATGCATGATAGAACACTGTTTTAATGATGGTGAAGCATCTGAGAAGCTGCTGGTTTTATTTTAGGAAGACGCTCACCAGCCTGTTACGCTGGAGCTGTTCTACAGGCTCCAGTTTTCTCTTGTCAATTAGCTGACTAACTTGTTTACTGAACAAATGAGCTAAGATGGCAAATAATAATTTGATTAAACATAAATGAATATTAGTGGGCTTTCGAGAGGATTTAAAATGCCTGTCCTAAGTCCAGCTGAAGTAGACAAAGTTTTCTAGAACAGAATTTATCAATGCTACTACTAGCAGTAATAACAAAATTTGGGGCTCTGTATTCGTGATGTCAAAGTCCCCTGAGAAGCTCAGCAGCCTCTAATTCCCTCTGACTTCCCCAAGAAGTGTCTTGGTGGATCTGGAAAGAATTACAAGGCTCCAGAGAGCCTGTGCTATTGACAGAACCGTCAGTTCTCTATCAAACCCAGCAAACTGGCACTAACTGCAGCAGCGATCTCCCTGTCTGGTTGGGTAGCAGGCCAGCATGAACAACAAGGAGTGAAGGAATAACTGAAAGCAGCCTCATCTTGCAAAGACATGTCTTTTCAAGCCCAGCATTGCTGTGTTCAGTTTTATGTTCCCCACGCTGGCAAGTAAGAGGACTGATTCGCAGCCGTGAGGAACTGATCAAATATGTGACAAGCAAAACATTAACACAAGCCCCTTCCAGCTCCACAAATCAACATGGAGATTTCACTGCACTTTCAGGTCTAGTAATTGCTTTTTTTTTTTTTTTTTGTAATAAATTGCTTTTTCAAAGTATTTTTACTCTGAATAGCTGGAGAATTACAGAGCAATAAAACCTGCCGGGCTTCCCCTAACAGTCAGTGAGAATCCCTGGACAGGGAGACACTGAACAATGTATTGGCAAGCCCTAAGAAAAATGCTTTGGAGGGGCAATCCTTCACTTGCAGTAGCTTGAGGGGCCTGCTCAAGTTGGCAGGTTTTTTAATGTTCTTATCACTTCAGTCATGATTTTATCCACAGTAAAAAGATAGCTTACTGTCACACCGATCCATTGCAACAGAATGCAAAGCTAACCCATGCAAAGTTATCGATATTTGGGCTGTTCTTTTAGTTTTGATCACTTGGCTTTAACCCCTCGCCCTTCCCGTACCGCTTACCTTTCATACGCACTCAACACACAGGGGACCTTGGTGCTGTCCCTGATGCATCTCCCAGCAATCAGGGAGGTGTCTGTCTCTAGCTCAGATTAGTTGTATGACTGTTTGTTCTGCCTGCTCCCCATTCTCAGATGTCTAATCTCGCTGCTCTTGGTTTTGATGGCAGGATGACACGGACAGCATTTGCTGCCAAGAGCAGATAAACCGCTCAATCTACTGGGCAGATGGCTTCGTGTTCGTCTACTCCATCACAGACTACGAGAGCTACCGAGTCATCCGGCCGCTGCACCAGCACATCCGCAAGATCCACCCGAATGCCAACATCCCCCTGCTCCTGATGGCCAACAAAGGAGACCTCCTGCGAGCCAGGCAGGTGTCCTCCAAAGAAGGACTCCAGCTGGCCAGTGAGCTGGGGGGCACTTACTATGAGGTGTCAGCCCGGGAGAACTGTGAGGGCGTCCACGAAGCCTTCCAGCAGCTGTGCCAGGAGGTCAGCAGGATTATCGGGAGCTGCAACGGAGAGAAGCGAAGGGGCCTCCACCTCGTCCGCCCCAAGTCTCCGAATATGCAGGACTTGAAGAGACGTTTGAAACAAGCTCTGTCTTCCAAAGGGAAATCTGCCACTACACTTTGATGGGACCGACATAAATTGTTTCCTATAGCTCTGAGAAAAAAAGCAAGAAAATAAGCTGGTATTAAGGAGTATCTCCAAAATTCAACAGTCAGGTTGTGCAAGAGGGTCTTTCATTCTGTCTTTGCCTCTGCCTTAAAAAATCTCTATTCATTCAACAAAAGGGACTTACTGAATGGGCTCTTTGAGGCAAGAGCTTGTCCCAGCCTATTTCCTCTCCAGAGGGGACATGGTCAAATAGCTTAGGCCTAAAATGTAGATTTTATTAATAAAAACAATGAAATCTTACTATTAAGAGAAATGACTTCTCTTGGGGATGGAAATATTCCCAAACATAGGTAATGAGTCATGGCAAGAGGCCAGGAGAATGACATGAGCTATCCTGAGCAAGCCAAGCTTTGTAAGATCTGCTTAGTAGGCTCAAGACTGGAAAAAAATAAAGGCAAAAAGAAAATTAATAGGATACACAGTGAAAACTAATAATTAAAAGACAACTTTTAAGCTGTAGTTTAGAAAGGCTTCTTAGCAATGTGGGGAGAGATTTGTTTATGTGGAAGCTTTAGCCCTGCAGTATCTCTAAAGGTAGATTTAAAACAATCACTGTTTGCTTACATTATTTTTCCTTCAACCGCTATGAACTACACTGAAAATGACTCGAGGGTGAGACACATAAAATAGCAGCATTTTGTAGGCAGTTTCTTTATGGTCTACTTCTCATTTTTGTGTAGGTTTCCTACATGGCAATGAAAGAGGGAAAAACAGAACAGTGTCACTGTAAACCTTGCAAAAAAATAGACTGTTTGATCAAGAGCAGAGAGATAGCCTGAAAGGATTTTTTTCTCCAAACTAACTAGACTTCAAGTAAAAGATGCTGTGTGTAAGAAATAACACCTTCACACAGAGTCCATTTAACTCATTGGGTCTTTCTTTTTAAAGAAGGAAGGGTTTTATGGTGCCTGAAATTCTTACCTTCAAGAATATATCATTTTATTTGCCCCAAGACGAGGCTTTACTCAATACGTCGCAATTCAACCAAATCACCTGTCTGTCAATACGCATTTCCCTGGCAGTGTCTTGCAGCGCTGGGTCCCAGCACGTACAAACACTGGCATTTGAAGCCATATCCTGTGATCTGCCAATTTTATGGCAGCAATAACATCACCACGACACATCTGTCACTGACTTAATGAGAGCGGAAGGGAGCTAGGCTGGACCATGCTAAAGCCCATCATTTTTTTTTTTTAAACAGACCATCCCAGAGGTTCACAGGAGCATGGAATAAAGCAAAGCTCCGTGATTTATGCTGAGGAACACAGCAGGGAAAATCCCAGTTTGACGGATACAGAAACCCCCCTCAGCTGTGGTTTCAGAGAGCAACACAGAGCTAAATCAACCTGTCACGCGTCATGAGCAGCAAATATGTAAACTGAGTCTGATAAGTATTTATACAACTCAGGGCTTGACTTTTTATTTTATTTTATTTTATTTTTCTTGTCCCTGCTTTAGACCAGTCTTTTCAGGATTTTCCTTATCACCTGGGTTTACTTTATCTACAGCTCACTTTCTGTTTTATTTATTGTTTTCCACAGCTAGTCATCTGAGAAAATCTTGTTTTCTGGATATTTTTCAGTTCTTTTGTACCCCCTCCTTCCGCGCACACACACAAAAAGGACATTTATAAAAGTTATTTTAAAATGGCAATAACGGGCAAAGAAAGAAATAGATCATCCACATCAGAACTATAAACAGTACCACAGGATTTCTTTAGACTATGGTTTATTAGCAATTTTATATTTGAGTTGTGTCATTATTCATTGCTGGCACTTCAGTATTGCATTTGCTCACACAGAATTACAGTACTTTGAATAACCAATAGCCTGCCTTGAATACTGAATTTTTAACATGAAATAGAGCAAACAATTCAAAAGAGACACACAATTGTCTGAAATTGATTTATATCAGAAAAGTTATCAGGAATTTTTAATAGCAACTAAATATTTTTCCATTCTATTACCATACAATAAAGGCTAAATTTCCTGAAGACAATTTGCTGGCAGCATTTTTCAAAGGAGCCTAAGAGAACTGGGTGCTCAATCCTGCTAAATATGGTTGCAACTTAACTCTTTCAGCTCTAAACCTTTCCCATGGGAGAAAAAAAAATCATTTAAAAGGTGCCAATGTTTTATTTTCAGTACTGATTAATAAAAAAAAATGCAAGGCCTTTGCTGATCAGTAGGTAAAATAGCTCCCTTAAGTCTCACATCTTTGAACGTTTCTTTAAAATCCTTTTTTCTTTTTCCTTCCTATAGCCTAGTAACCTGCTTTGGAAGTATAGACAGATAGTTCTACACTTGTATTCCCATGAAAGTAAACCTTCCCACATTCCTACTTTGGAAAAAATCTACATTTTAGTTCAGGCCAAAGAGGATTGAAACGTTTAAGTCTTCTCCTAAAAAAAGACATGTGGTAAACATTTATTCTACCACAGGAACTTGGGGATTGTATCTCCTTTGTTCACTGACCAGCAATATAAGCCCCCTAATAGCTTTGGTACTGGTTTTAAGCCAGACATACCAGTCCAGAACATGAGAGCAGCGCAGTTTTAATAGCAGAGTTGTCCTCATGCACCAGAAAGCACCGCTGTGGCCACTGGAGCTCAGCAAGGCTGGAGGGGGACAGCAGTGCCGTGAAAAGCAGGGAAGAGAGTCCAATGTGGAATTAAGTGCCTAAAAATAATCACACAAAATATCAAAGATTCATCACGTACAACTCGACCATGAATTAGTGTCGTCAAGTTGCCAGGGGAAAGTGTATTGTATGGAAGGCTTAAAATTAAGCCTGCAGAGGGAAGGTGCTTGACATAAAGTTGTGAGAGGAAAGGGAAAAAGATTTGAGCTTTTATTGTGGGTATCAAGGCAAATTTTCTTCTCAGTTGTACTGATTAAGTCCAGATTAACTCTATTTGTAGCAACAGCGAGAGCAATGAGCTGTAGAATTCTCTTCTTTTTTTTAATGCCTCTTTTTCATTATCCCGCACAGTTTAAATCTTGGGCAGCATCTGGTTTTCAAGACAGTTTACAGCTGGGTTTCCCTGGGCACAAAGCAGTTGAGTGATTTGCCCCAAGGTGACACAGCTGAGCAAGTACTTCAGAGGAGCTCAAGAACTGGCCTTTGTAATTAATTCCCAACTTTTCACAACGACTACCAGACCATAGCACCTCCCTCAAGGTATGCACAAAGCACAGCGCGTTGCACTACACAGGAATGTAATTAAAAGTTGGAAAAAGTTACTTAAATCACAAGCTATGCTAGGAATGGACAGAGCAAAATATTGCTATTCTGCTGGCACAGTGCACAGTTATAGAAATACTGGAGCTGGTTTGTGGGTTACTGAGGTAAATTATTATTTTCTGCAGTACTTCTCTGTTGTGTTTCTCACACATCATTCTAGAGATCTCCCATGGAAATACAGTGGGACTTGGGAGACAGGAAAATTGAGCTCTATTTTTAGCTCTTCTTGACTTGCTTGGTGATCTTGGCCAAACTCACTTAATCTAAGTTGCCATGTCCATAGCTAAGAATAAGGATATTTATGCATCTTTCCAATGTGCTTTAGCACCCACAGGAAAGAATGACCAAGCACTACGAACAACAGAAAGAGCCAGCATTTGCAGCAGGGATGGCTCAAGTCCTAGCATCTGAATGCAGAGCCTGGGTCCAGATTCCTCCAATTCAGAGTTGTTTGGCTCTCATATTAATACCCGATGTATGCTGAGCATATGGCCAATCTGGACAATTCAGCTTAGCCTGGACTGTAGGATAGCTAATGCTTTCAAAAGGTTAATTGAAAGCTGTCAACTTACTGTTAAAACTGGATTTTCTTATGCCCAAGCTAGAAGACTTCAGGTCAAAATCACATTGACTCTGTTGGAGTCGCGGCTGTGTTTGCAGAGGGAGGACGTGACCCTGACGCTGCAGAACATAGTGACATTTTTGTTAGCTTTCAGTTGCTCCTGTATTGTCCAGGTGTTCTTAGCAGTTGTCCATGTCTTGTTTGTGGCACGCATGAGACAGCCACACTATTAACAGTGAAAAACGAGCTCAAGATTCACTCTAAAAGCTCAGAAGCAGAGACGGTGGCCCTAGGTAAGTCTTTCCACTCTATCCCCTCTGGAGATAATGCAAGCCTGTTCCTCTGATGCTTTCTCAACCTCTGCTCACACTGCAGTTTCTCTCTGCAATCCTTCTTCCTTGGGTTTAGAAGCATATTTTCGGCTGTTCAGCTAAAATCTATTTCCAAGACTTGAACTCCAAGCAGACATGGTTTATATCAAAAGAAGAGTGTCTGCTTAGCCTTTTGACCTTCTTTACCTAAATCATTTTAAATTACATCTAAATCAAATCAGTGCAACACTGTTTTTAGACAAACCTTTGGATTCATCCCATTTTCCCCCAGACACTCTTGTCGGCTTAGCCTAGGAGATCCATCCACTGCTGTGTGCATACAGCATTAACCTCATTTGTGTGGCTTGGTCATTGTTTATTTAAACCTGCTTAGTTCTTGTAAAGTTTGATAATTTGCTGCTCTTCTCTGAAATCTCTTCAGTTTAATCAAGCGAGTTCTCTTTCCTAAGCAGCTGTGCAAGCTACGGATGCGCTCAGAACAGCTGCTGATTTTCTGCTCTGTCAGATTTTTGCCTGTTCTTGAAAACTTCGGATTAACTGGGAACATGGGGAGAGATGCAGCAAACTTAGTTCTCATCTCCTTTCATCTTTCAGTCTCCTTCAGGGATATTAATTTAAACAATCCATCGCAAAGTGGACAAAAGTTTATCTTAAGTGATAGTGTATCAGCGTGGCTTCCTACAGATGGAAAAAAACATGAGGTCTGGAGCAGATAGATGAGTTGGTAGGCTTCTGTAAACCCACAGATCCAATTCATTAGGAGCTGTCATACCAATCCTCTTTCCTTTAGAAGATACATTTTTTACATTTTCCATTTTACCCAAACGGGTTTCACGGTGCAGCCTCTGGATCTCGTCACACAGACACTTACTGTCTCCTCTGTGGCAGGTCGAGGGGAAGCGCACATTTTCCAAGTGTGATGGGTGAGAGCAATGCACGCCTTGTGCTGCTGTTATGCATGGCCATGGAGACTGTTCCTAAGAACAATGTTTTTCTTCTTTCTGGGCAATAATGTGGAACGCCAGCAAGCAGTAACTGGTCATTTCAAAAAGATGTGAGTTTTGTTCAATGAGTCTGGAAACAAACTGTACTTTCTCTGCTGGTGAGAAAGCTCAGCAGATAAACGGGGCTTGGACCTGTTCTGATGCAGCCTTTGAACTTCCACGACGAGAGCTGAATTATGTCACTTTTTGATTGTAAGCCAGGTTTCCAGATGCTCTCAGGAGTCTCCACTCTTCACACTCTGTTCTGTATTGTATCTTACTTTAAAACTCATAGTATTTCCCTCTGCCATCATGAAAAAGAGAAACAACTTTGGACTATCACACTGAAACTCAACAGCTCATTCCCTTACCCCTCATTTGTGATGAAGACCATGGGTACTGGAGCTGTTTTTTCTGTTGGGTGGGGACTCCGGGACCAGAACTCATATCCATGCTTTATAAGCAAAGACGTTATCATTTCAAATGAACAAGACTCTTCATTATTTAATTAGCAAAGCGAGGTATAATATGGTACAGCTCGGTTGTTCTGTGACTGTCAGTAAGGAGCTTTGGGAAGGGAAATGAGAGAGAGACATAAAATCTCTAAATTATGGTCCTGTGTGTATTTGCTTTTTCGAGGAGACAAATATAGACCGACTTTCCCTCAAGCACTTGGAAAGATAATAAGCTGGTGGCAGTGCTGAAAACAAAGCGAGTGGTGATGGCAAGTCAAGTTCCCAGGGCGTGTGGGGAGGCAGCCTGGTAAGGAAAACCTCCCCAGTGCAAAACAGGTGCTCACTGGGAAGAGAGGAGCTCTCTGAGTCGGATCGGAGCTGCGTGTTTGAGCTGCGTGTCTGGAGGTGCGCGCTGATGGAAAATCAGGGCTCGGGCCTCGGAGAGCCGTTAGCGTTTCCCAGGGCTATCTGCTCGGTGCAGTGGTGAAAACCTCATGTCTTTGTCACGTTCCAGCCCACATGGTTACTTTATGCTCATGTCAAAGTCACTTCTCCTAAAGGGCAACAGTCCTATTGCTGGTCTCAACGTAGATGTTGGTGCTGCTCCAGCAATGCGCCGAGAGCTTCCGCCCCTCTATCTGGCACCCACCTACTAGGGCTCCAGGGGCTCATTCCAAACCTGACTCGTGTTCCTCAGGTTGTGCTGGAGACCAGGAACCGGCTCTCGGGACAGCTGTGATCTGCCAAAGGAGCAGCCTTTCAAAGTGACCAAGACATATCTGGAAAATGGGGCGCTGTAAACACACATGCTATTCTGCTAGCACTACTGGCAGCTTTTTGATATTTTTAATTTTAGCCATTTGCACTTGTGACCCTTGCACTGGGCACGGAAGCAGAAAGAAGAGAGCTAAAGGTTCATCTCCTCACACACTTGGCACCCCACATTTCCTCCCCGCTGCAAATATGGCTCAGGGCTGGCCTGCAAGAACCAAGAATCATGCACAGGGTTGAGAAATCCACACAATTCCCACAGCGTGGACACTCCTACATCCCTGTGCAGTTCTTGGTAAGAGCAAATCAGGTCTTCACAGGGGTTCAAAACCTACTTACATGGCATTTGCAAGGAGCAGTGAAACGGAGGCTTCGGTGGCAAGGGGAGAAGGTTGCTGAAGGGTTAAACGCTTCCTGTCCGGGCCCTTTAATCAAGAATCACGTAATGTGGAATGAATGTTTCAGCTCAAAATGTTTCCTCACTCTGACAGCTCCGTGGTGTGAGGTCAAAGTGGGGAGGAGGACAGCAGGAAAAGCGGGGGAGCGGCAGGCTCGGAAGCCCAGAGAAAGGCGCGGGGATGCAAGGGCCGCTTCCCAGGCGCTCCAGCCCCACTGGAAGGGGCTGCAGGGAGCGCGTGGAGCCCGCGGAACTTTAAGGACTTCCTGCTCTCCATTGCTCCCATGTGTGCGCGCCCCGGCGCCGGGCACCGTTCCCACGCTACATTGCAAAATACGCCTCGAGTTTCTCACAGCCTCTCTCCCGGATGCAAACTGTAGCTTCGCTCCTTCCTGCGCCCTGCAAACTGGGGATGCGGGGGCTCCTCAGGGGCGGTTTATTTTTCCTGCACATGCGGAGTTTTTGCTACGCTACAGAGCTGCTCCTCACACCCCAGGGCTCCTTGCAGGGCAATACACTCAAATCGAAAAAAGGCATCAAATTTCAAATTAATTTGATTTTTCAGACCAACCTGATCCTAAACCATTTCTTCTTGCACTAAGAGAGACGGGTGTAGTTTGATTGTGTCTGCAGGCATTCCAAGAAGCACGAAGCAATCGGTCAGCCAGGACAGCCAGAGTCAGCTGCGGTGTCGGGGCGCCTTCCTGCCGGGCAGCACATCACACGTCTGTCCGCCTGCCCCACGGTCTCCACCTCCTCTGTCATGGAGAAAAACACTGGAGTAATTTTTCCTTATTTAATTGATTGCCATTTAACACAAACATCTAATCACCAGCCCCTGGCAGCGTCCCTGCCCTCGCATGGCTGTAAGGTAACAAAACACATTCCTCAATCAAGGCAGGGATGCAGAGAGATTTGGTAGCTCTCTGCCTCCCTCCGAGATGATTAAATTCTGCATCTTCCCACCAAACGACAGCAAATGTCAGGAGAGAATCAGCTGACAAACCCTCTTGCTCAACACCACTTGCCCCTAAGCCACATGCGAAAACAAACCATTTTCAGGGCAGGAAATCCTCAGGCCTCCTCGTCCCTGGGATCAGCCGAGCTGCTAATGTGGGATATTGACTGGTGAGTGCAACGGGCAGTGATACTGCGGGCCGGCAGGCAGCAAAGCCGCTGCAAGGGCCTCGGGCAAACGCTGTCAGGGGAAAGACTGCGGTCTGCCAAGAATCTCTGCTCAAGTGCTAGGGCTTTTCAACAGCTCTGTGTGAAAACAGCTTCTTACAAACTAGGAAAAGGTCAAACTCGAGCCCAGAGCTCCAAATATTTTATTTCTAAAATGGGCCACTGCAAAATTTTCTAGGTCTGAGCTCTTCATTTTCAGCACAAAGTTCCAGCCTTCAAGCTCAATGGAAAGATCCAAATTTAAGCCTTTTTTTTTTTTTTTTCCCTGCCACAACGTGCATTTTGAGTTTTCCTTTGTGGGCCATTGCCAGTTTCATATCCAGTTCCATATCCTCACACTCTCCATCTTTCAGGCATGTTTTCCAGTTACTGCAGGAGGTAATGTCACCTAACGGACTCAGAGACACTGCTGGGTGTTGCTCATGTTGTCCCACCCGTCTGCTTGGGTTCCCATTAAATCAAAATGAGAAATCCTTCCTTTGTGAAGTGTTTTGAGACCTATTGATTAAATCTGCCACCTATGAGCCAGGTGTCACACGGTTTTAAACACTCTCTGGGCGCTCCCTTGCGGGGAGGAGACTGATGGTTTGTTATTAATAGAGCAGGAAGCGGGGCTTAAACTTTCCTCCCTAATCACAAACAAAAGCGACGAGAGCCCTGCTGCTTCTGGGCAAACCTAGGAACGAGCAACTGTGTCTAAGGAAAGTGAATCCCCAAAGTAGAAACCCAGATTGCTGTCTCGCAGGGACATGAAAACAAGGTCGGGCTTGGCAGGCTGCCTCCTCTGCACCTTGTGAATATTCTCTGAGGGGCTGATCTGGGACATAATTGTTTTGACACAGGGTTTCCTGTTGCAAACGCGCTGTGCAGGCTCCACATCAAGCAGCTGGGGTGTTAGATGGGTCTAAGGCACATTTCCAAGCAGGGTCAAGTGCCCAAGCTCCATGTGCGGCTTGCGCATCAGCAGGGACCACTTGCAGATTTTACTGGCTACGGATGCCCTAGAAATCACCTGCCACAAAACCCGAATCTGAGGGCAGGCAGGTAGCTTCCCAGCTACAGGGAAAGTAGGTCAGGCATCTTTTCAAAGCCTGGGTTACTGCTGCAACAGCAGGGAAAGCTTTGTAGCCACTGAGCCTTTTTGTCTAAGGGTGGTCTCTGTCAGGCGACATGGGCAAAGTTTTGAGAGCTGCATAAACACTGAAACAAAAGCTCTAAATGTTCGGCGTCCCTTTGGTTTGCTGAAACTCCTCCATCAAGTATTGCATTCACTTTCCAGGAATAGCTGAGGGAGATTCTTCCCAGCAGCAGAGCTCCTAGCAGCTGGGATGGATGTTTCCAGCGTGCCAATGACCATGTGTGCAATGCACAGGAGCCCTGACCCATCTGTGCACTATTGCTGCCCCAAAACACAGGTGCTACTACAGTGACAGCAGAGAGAGGCTCTGCATGTGCTCCTATACCATACAGTCTGGTATACATGCTTCACTGGCCCTGTGGGGACATCCAGCTAGGACAGCATCACTCTGCAGTGACACCAGACCAAACGGCTCCGAATTGGCCAAGTGCTGCCCGTGCAGCCAGAGCTGATGCAGCAGGGAAACGCGCTGCTAAAAGAACCACCTTCTTTGCAAACAAGCAAGCAAGTAAAGAGGAGAGGGAATAATCTTACCACAAGCACAATAAAATCGACTTTGAGCAGCAGTATCCTCGCCCTACCTTTAAAGTTCAACTGGTGTTTCAGAAAAGCTCTATGGCATGGGCAGCCTTCACAATTCCTAGGCACTTACCACCCTGGGAACTGGAGAAGTGGCAGATGTGGCGCGCTGTTAACATCTAAACTCACCAGAGCAGATTCATTTATTATAACACCCGTGGTGGCAGCAGCTACGCTGCTGTCGCGCATGCCCAGGAACCCTCGTCGAAGAAAGGACCTATCACATAAAAATAAACAGGACTCTACAGTCCAGTTATTTAACAAGGGCATAAAAGCAGTTAAAGAGATACTAAGGAAACCAGTCATGGAAAATTTAGGTCATATTATTTAAGCTCAGGCCTAAGGTTACGTTCTTTCTTTAGCATATGCTTCCTTCCCCATGCTTCACTGTTGTTTCTCAGGATGCTGGCAGCTACATAAACATCAAGATCTTTGAGTGTCTTTCTCCTGGCTACTGAACGCCCAACGTGACCTTTAATCTTTCAGTAACTCCACCTGCTCCAGTGAAGGTATCCCTACTATCTGCAAGGAAAGCTCTAGGAAAAAACAGAACTACAAGGAGACATTTGACCTAGGTCCATAATAGGAGTTTCATAAAGTATCAGATTAAAACAAACAAACAAACAAAAAACTGAAAAATACCACCAGTATAACAAAACCAATGAAGTATTCCAAGCAGCCTTGCCACTGTCTACGATATAAACTCTTTTCAGCCAGTGCTCTACTCTTTTTTCCATATACCTCTTTAAACCTGTTTCTCTCCTACCAGTACTTCAAGCAATCTCCTGTGTGCACGAGATTTTTCTTCACTTGATCTCAGCGGATCAGGTTGCAGAATAACCACTTTTCCTTTCAATTCTAGCCTTATTTTAGGCGGGCACTTCAAACACAATTCCACAAAGCAGGGCAAATGAGTTCTAACATTGTCCAGCGGTGCAGCTGTGATTCCCTGATCCCTGATGATTTACAAGACCATGAGGAAAAAACTGCAGTTGGCCTCCAGAGTCACATTGTCCCCATAAAGCTTTCAGCTGAAACTGTTGGCAGGTGCACGACAATCTGCAATCATTTCCTTACGGCTGACAGCAGCCTATAACCCAAGCTTGGGAACTGGGAGTTTAGGGCTCACATAAAGGCCAACATTTTCCATTGCAGAAATCCCAAGCCATGTGCTTGAACTGCCACTCAGGCATCCAAGAAAGCACCTGTGGATTTAATGAAAGCGTATGGCTGTTCACCAGATGTCCACGGAGATGTAATACATCCAGGCTATAGGCCTGCAGAACCTGGCAGAGCACCAGATGGGAAATCAGAAGTTAAACTACACACAGCAACACTTGGTATAAGGATTTTACTGTAGGTAGAGAATGTGTTAAAAGAGAATTGGTAACATATTGGACTGAAAAGGGTCGAACCAGTGTGGGCCAACCAGCAGAACTTCTGAAATATTGGACTTGGAACTGATCTTGTTAAATATTTTCATGAACGGCCCTGGCACAAATTTCAGATCGTGTTAGCAGAATTTACCCATGATGTAAAGTTGGGAGGCCCCATCGAGGTCCAGGAGGATCGAAATGTCCTGCAGGAAGAATGGCATTCCTCTGGGGAACTGAATCATAGCAACAGGATGCAAGAGCAAACGCCTCGGGGCTGAGAACAAGAATTTCTGCTGGAACCAGTCAGTGAGATTACACACTGAGTGTGTTACAGTAGCATGTATGAAGATCAGTGTGGCACAGCTATGAGGCAGGGAACGGGATCTGAGGACGTATCAGGCAACACAGTTAGAGCAAAAGCAGGGAGTATCAGTGGCCCATACATGGGCTTGCCGAGATGGTGCTCCAAGGGCTGCACTCAGCGCTCCCATTTTCCCACTCACCTATTTTCCTGGTATGCAGGTGCAGCAGAAGGATGACCGAGGGGCTGGAAACTTGTGGTATTGGAGGAGGTAGAGGCCATACATATATTAAGTCCTTAACCTCCAAAGATCCAGTTCTTACATCCACATGGTATAGTACCTTACATATGGAAACATTACCCCAGAGGATGATCAGATATTTGGTGGTAAAGCTGCACACAGAATTCCTACCCTGCACTGGAGCCTCTGTCTCCTGGTGTGTGCCCCCAGGCCGCTGCTCTCCGTTGTGATGACACAAGCATTTGTGCAGTCACCTGGGAAAGGAGTCAGAGAATTGATCCAGCTGAAGAACAATGCAGCAACAACAGCAACAAAAAGGTCTTCTTTCAAGGTCAAGTCTCTAGGCAGGTCAATAACTCTGGATTATTTTGAAATCCAAGACCTCAGTCAGTGGTAACTTGGATATCTTTGTATTGCTTCTCATTGTATGGATGGGCCTTCATAAAGTGGGTGGAAATACTTGAGCCATGAATTCCCAGTAGACCAGGAATTAGAAGCTGGTTTCTAACCATAGGAGCAATTGAGAGCTTCCAGTGGGGCACAAATGCTTCAACTGGTTTTCAAATGAGGCTTTCCCCCTAGGGACTGCTCAAGACAGCTGTTTGCAATAGCTGGAAATGTCCTCTGCATCGAAGGAGGTCCCTTCCAGCAATCTGACACATACAGAGCCTATTAACTACTCCCCACTATTAGTCTTGGTCATAGGACACAGTAAAATGTGTGGCAGGGCATACCACGCTTCTCTGCAAAAATAATTAAAAAAAAGACTTGGCAGTTTCTCTCCACTTTGTTCTTTTTTTTTTTTTTTTTTTAATACAGTGCAAACTCCATAGCTATGACAGCTATGGTTTATCAGCACCTTTCACTCAAATTTCACAAGACAAGTGACCACACAAGTGGCAAGACTGACTCTCCAAGTGCTTTAAATGTATATCAAAGAGCAACTGCCCATTATGGCTCAGAAGAAATGACTGTCATTAGGAGGACAGTGATCCTAGACAGGAAAATAACTACTTAAAATGATACCTGAGGAACAAACTAGGTTTTTCTTTTGCACCAACCTAAAGCTGTAGGACGAACCGGAGAAGCCGTGGCTGTTCTTTAGTGCATGTCTTTTCCCAAGGAGCAAGGTCATGGCCTGGGTGCACATCAGTGTTTTGATCCCCAGTGAATTCCCATTGTCTGCAAACCTGCAATGACACCTACTGGTAACCAACGGATAATCAAATGCAGATGTTCCTACTTAAAAAAACTGTGAATATACCTGTTTCCAAAGGTAAAAGAGAT